TCTTGTCCCAGCTAAAGCTTCTGAATGCTCTTCTAAGAGCAGCCCCATGTGGAATGCATTGCAGTAGTCCAGTCTGGAGGTGACCAGGGCATAAGTGCCTGTAAATAGGATCTGCCAAACCTGGAGCACAAGACAAAGCCATGCAAAGACCCTCCTAGCCCTGCCTGCCACCTGTTTATTGAGCAGAAGCTGTGATTATGTAGTTATATTAGTCTGATCAATACAAACTAATCTTTAATAAAAATTATTAAAAAAAAAAAATTTTCAGCCTTACAGGGAATGCAAGCAGGAGAGTATTATTGCAATCATATGTACTCAAGCGCATTCCACAGGCATCCAACTGGCCACAGAATGGACTGTTGATATAGAATGATCTAAATCAGGGGTGTCAAACTCACAACTTCACGTGTGTCGCGACATATCGTGACTTTTTTGCCATTGTTGGCAATCTGATAGGTGCGATTTCGCTATGATGCATCCGGCCTGTGGGCCGGCAGTTCGACACCCCTGGTCTTAAACCCATTGCATTCATTTCTTTAGGGGAAATATATGATGTGTATTTCCAACTTACAGTAGGCTTCAACGCCCAAGTAAAATTTTCATATATTTATTCTCATCCTTTCATCAAATATTCCCAGTCACAACCACAGAATCTGCATTAAGGCATTGCATTAACAGGCAATATTTTTTAAAAGGCTAAAAATACAATAAAGGTAGTAGAAACAGTGTGCCACTTCTTCTCTGTGAACTAACAGTAAAAAAGTGACTCACCTAATTACCTTAATGAGATACCAAGCCAAAGTGTAGAAAGTGATACTATTTGTAACATTAAATATGAAGCTTCAAGTAGTCAGTATAAATACTGAAAAAAATTAAATAGTGTAAACCAGGGGTAGGCAACCCTGGCTCTTTTATGACTCATAGACTTCAACTCCCAGAATTCCTTGAGCCAGCATGGCTCAGTTTGGAAACTCCCTTTCCCCTCAGCATGGCTGGCTCAGGAATTCTGGGAGTTGAAGTCCACGAGTCATAAAAGAGCCAAGGTTGCCTACCCCTGTGTAAACACATTCTAATGTAGATTTCTCTTTGTCATAGACAAATGCCTATTGAAAATAAACAAGAATAGTTATTTCCAAGTCAAATTCAACTCACTAATTGAATATAGTTGTCCACCAGAAGCTTAATAAACCTCCCCTGCTCTAGAGTCTAGACTGCAAAACCAAGGTGAACCAATTGTAGGTCGGCGACCTTTATGACTGCCCTAATTAGCGACCATTTGAAGTTACAAATGTGCTGAAAAATAACTTTATGACCAATTCTCATATTTAATAACTGTTGCCGCATCTCTGCGGTCATACAATACAGATTTGTGCATTTTGCAACCAGCAGACCTTTGCAGTCATAGTAGCATCCCATGGTCACATGATCACCAGTTGCATACTTCATAGCCAGTTTCTAACAAGTAGAGTCATTGGAGAAGCTAGCAAATCACAATCATGTGATGTCTCAGTTAATGACCGCTTTGCTTAACAATGGGGTTGCCAGACCCAATTGTGGTTGATAAGTTAGGACCTATGTATATATATCTAGTTGTAATACAGGAGTGTCAAACTCAGAACATCACATGACATGTCACGATGTATCACAACTTTTTTTTCCATTGCTGGCAATGGGGTGGGCGCAGTTTCGCCATGACGCATCTGGCCCATGGGCCAGCAGTTTGACACCCTTGTTCTAGTAGGTCTGTGCAGCATTTCAGATTCAAAGGGGAAAATGGGTTTCAGATTATAGGCAGACATGCATAACACCTTTTTTCTGCATTGTGTTGTGGAGGGTAGCTGTGCGGGCTATGTGTATCCTCCTTAAAATTAAAAAGTTGCTGCTAGAAATAAGCAAAAACACATGTTGAGTTTTGGGCATCTTCGGAAGTTCCAGTTCATTCTGATGACTCATTTTTCTTCTTCCCAATAAATAACTCATAGAAGGATGAAAAACCCTCAACAAATGAATTTGAAGAATGATTGTGAAACTGCAACATCATCTGTAAATTGGAATCTGTTTATCTGATGTGTGTGTGAATTAAACATTGCATTTCTAGTACATAGGAAGTTGACTCACAGTGGAATGTTTTCATCAACGTGTTCTTTAGCACAGTTGCCACTGACACTGTCATTATAGTTCATTGCTAGGGTAACCAATCAATATGAATGTAAAAACAGATTTATTGGACAGTTTTAGAATATACTAAATGTAAAACAACAACTTGTATAATATTTTTAAATATGAATGAATGAATGCTCAAAAAGTGAAGTTTGTACTCAAAATATGTTTTCAATTAGCCTAAATATAAGAGTGGATTCTTTTCCCCCCTAAATGTAGTGAGTATTCTTTCAAAGTTTTTTGCAGTCATTAAATCTTGTCTCTTAAATGTTTTGGCTTGTACATTACATTTTAATGGATAGATACATATGAACTTTGGGGATATATTTGTGGGGAAAAAATGTGATGCCCTATTTATTTTACAATTCATAATATATAGTACAGTAAGTCCTTGATTTAACAGACTAATGTGGGAAGTGGTGCCCATTAAATCCCAGTAGTATTTTATACATGTATAGTTTACATATGCATGCATAAAAAGACAATTTGGTTTTTAAATACAGAGAGTGCTTGACTTATGACCAAAGTTGGGACCAAAATTTCCACTGATCAGCAAGGAAGTTGTTAAATGTATTCTAGCAGAATACATAGATAAAAAAAATATTGTAAGCCACTTAAAACCATGAGAATAGCTGGCCTACAGCGATGGGCTAATCAAAAGTAAAATCTTCACAATAGCCACTCTGTGTTTGAGAGAGAAATCTATAAAAGCTGTATATAGCTTCACACATGATTTGGAAGTGTATTTTTCTGTCAGATGTTGAATAAGAGCACAGTCAAAAATAGAGCAGCCGCTTCTAAATCTAGCTTGTTCCTCGGTTAATGTGTTGTCTGTGTGAAAATGTACTTTCTTCTCCTCTAAAAAATAAAATAAAAATAAAACTGAAGTTAAATTGTGGTCATTATTTTGTTAAGTGGAATCAGGTTAGTTTTTCCACTGCACTGTTTCCTGATTTACCAAAGCATTATTTGTGCTTTGAAAGCTTTTTCCCTTGAACTCAGTATTGATTGTCACATTTGTTACCGCAGAAACTGTGGCCTGCTATAATTTATATATCAGGAACCACATTACATCAGATTGTTAATAACTGGCTGCCAAAAGCCAGGTAGAGGGGTGCTATTATTGTTGTTGTTGCTGCTATTTTAAAAATCTCAGTTGGATTTCCACAGATGTTATTTTATTCTCTCTCAGTAAAAGGTTTTGATCTGTGAGTGGATGTATTCTCTACACAAATTAATGCACTTGAGCGGTCACCAGGAAATTCAAGATGGAATAAATTATTCATAATCTGGGTATTCAGAACCTAATTAACAACTCTCCCCTCCATTACAGAAATGGAAAGGATGCTCTGAATGTTTTATGCTTGTATAAAATTCTGAGCGGCTTCTTAATATTGTAAATAATATTTTTTATTCCATATCCATCGAATTTTAGGCAAATTGGATGGAAGGATGTGATAATATTGCTCAGAATAATGCTTGGCACTTTTAGTTATTTGAAATGCAGTGCATTCTCCAGTAGAATATTTTCCTACTTTCATTTTAAAAACATTTGCACATGAACTGAATGGTAACTATTCATCACAGTGAAATACAGGTGGTCCACGACTTACTAGAGACTGTTCAAGGTTACAATGGCACTGAAAAAAGTGACTTATGACTATTTTTCACACTTATGACCATTGCATCATCCCTGTGGTCATGTGATCAAAATTCAGAAGTTTAGCAACTGACTCGTATTTATGACCATTGCAGTATCCTTCAGTAATGTGATAAACCATTTGTGACCATCTGCAAGCAAAGTCAGTGGGAAAGCTTAACAATTGTGTTATTAACTTAACAACTGCAGTGATTCACTTAACAACTATGGCAAGAAAGATTGTAAAACGGGGCAAAACTCACTTAACGACTGTCTCACTTAGCAACAGAACTATTGGGCTTAATTGTGGTCGTAAGGCAATGACTACCTGTAATGAATGGATGGCATGTTGAAAAAACCAGATAGGGTGGTCAATTCTGATCATAAAAATCACGTGGGAAGAAATTAAGCACCTCATCCCATCTCTGCAGTCGGATTCCTGCATTTAGTAAAATGTTTTTTTAAAAAATATCAAGAGATCGTACACAGACATGTTTGGTTTAACTTTAATGTACATTAAGAGCATTTGAAAAAGTCAAAGTTAATGTATTTTGTGCAGAGGCAAATGCCAGAGGTATACAATTTCAACTTTCAATATTGTTACTTGTTTTATCTAATTTAAAGTTATGTAGTTAAAGGTCAACAGTGCTCTGTGTTAAAATAAGATTGCAGATTGATGAAAGAAATTGTTTGTTCTGGCAATCCTTTCCTCTCATCTAAGCCGTCCAATTTATTCTTTGTTTTTACTTTTTAATATCAGAGCATCTTAGATACTATATATACCAAATGCAGTACTAGAAAGTGCATTAATTTCTATTTAGATATAGTCCCAAAGTCATATTTGCTGAAAATCAGGCTCATAAATTATTATGTACAAGGAAAGTAGGAAGTGTGAGTCCATGATTAATTTCCTTATAGAAGTAAATTATCTTTCCATATGAAGGCAGAACCATCCTAATGCATTATCCTAATCTCTGGTTTAATAATAAAAATAGTAAAAATATTTAAAAAGCAGTATTGAATACATTTTAAAGCAGTAAATAATCCCACATGGCTATTAACATTGAAATGAAGATACTAATCACGTAGGAGGAAATTGACCTATGATGTCTTAAGATGTGTAGGATTTATTTTCTGAAAATAACAATTAAATCTTGTGTTATCAGTGTCTAATTATCTTGTATTTTTTTTCTATTTACAGAGAAGTGGTGCAAGCAAACTGTGTTCATTGGAAGAAAAGGTTTTCATTTATATGTAAAATAAGTGCAAGTGCCACTACAGGGATTTTGGATCCCTGCATCTGCAGAGTCTCTGTACGAAAGGTATAAATGGGTGTCATACTTACATTTGCATTGTAGTTGCGTCCCTGTAAATTATAGATTGTTTTAGTATTTGTTCCCATTTAAGTTATAAGTTTATATATTTATTAATTTTGTTATTTCAAATTAGATTTTCCTGAGCATATTCTGCTCTAGCTATTGTCTAATCTCTTACTGATGTATAAAAAGGTGTTTTACATACACATACTAGTGTATAGTATAATAGACTATGTATGCTGGCCCAATATTCTTGAAATCCAGCATCTGTAGAAGACCCTAAATTGAAGAAGGTTGGATTAAGATAGTGCAGTTAGATCTAGATTTGTGATTATACAAACACACACATACACATCCATATTATTTTCTTTATTATCTCAAAAGTGGGAAACATTCTTTAAGATAGCAATAACAATAGCATATAGTCTTATATATCGCTTCATAATGCTTTTCAGGACTTTCTTAGCGGTTTACAGTCAGTTTATTGCCTTAATCTGGGTCCTTATTTTACCAACCTCAGAAGGATGGAAGGCTAAATCAACCTCGAGCTGGTCAGGATCGAACTTCTGCTGTGGGCAGAGGTAGCTTCCAATACTGCATTTTAACATTGCAGATTCTATAGGTCCTTGAGATTCAGACTCAAAATAAATAAGGAAAAGATAAAGAGCTGTAGTCTACTGTTTCTTTTCCTTATTTTTATTCTGCCTCATCCAGATCTAGAAGAATAAACATTAGCAGCTCTCTTTGATAACAATCGTAACATCCAAATTTTACAAAGAGTACTACTAATTGTATGAAGTTGTTTGCTATGCTTCCTTATAAAGAATCCATATAACTTCATTTGATTTGGGTTTTTTGACTACAACTATTTATTTGTTGCAGGAATTAAAAGGAGGGAAGACTTATGCAAAGGTAAAAAGATAACACTGTGTAATCCAATGCCTCTTTTTGTTTCCTTTTCATATCTGTGTATAGAATATATTGCGGTATATTCTTATTGTTTTGAATGATACCAGGCATTATAAAACATTGTTATGTAGCACAAAGATAAGGCATACTACAAAGCCTAAATTTGTTTATTTCTTTTTTTGTTCTGTTATTACTAACTTCATTCTTTCCTCAATAGTTGGGTTTTGCGGATCTTAACCTGGCAGAGTTTGCTGGATCAGGAAATACGACTCGCCGCTGCTTACTGGAAGGTTATGATACCAAAAACACAAGGCAGGACAATTCAATTCTCAAAGTAATTATGTGGAGATTTTTTTTCCATTCCATTTTATTTTTTAGAAGTAACTTTTTGCTAATTGCTAATAGGAAAATAAAGTATAGTAACCATCCATTATTTCATATTTCTCTTCCTCTTCTCCCTCCATCCCCATTCATGATCACAGTACAATAAATGAGACCTAAAGGAATTAGTTTGTTTTAATAGGATATCTGATGAAAAATTATAAACAAATGAAAACCCATCAGAAGAAAGTTCTTAAATTATTACGGTTGTTTTAGGGATATTGTATTGCACTCTAGTTTGTCTGAATACATTTTTTTTTTTTAATTTTGTCATTAGTTATGTCTGGTGACATAATGAACACAGAAGAAGTAAAATCCTTAGTGAAGTTATACAATTTGCTTTTTTCATCTGAGATGGTTTTGATAACAATCTTTGTTAATGAATTTCGTTTTGAAATTGGTATTCAATTAGGCCTTTGTAATTGATTTTCATAAGAGGTTCTAATCTATATGCTGTAACTATAATCCATTTTTGGTAATTTGATAGTTCACTTGATAGAATATAATTCACTTTTTCTTTCCATATTTTTGGAATTGCAGTTTGATTTCATTTTTTTAAAATTTCATTCTTACTGATTTATAGATCTTAATCAGCATGCAGCTAATGTCTGGAGACCCTTGCTTTAAAACGTAAGTTTAAATTTACATACATATTGTTCTTGGCCTTTGTCCCACTTGGTTGCAGAGTCTGCGTGTTACGCACTGCTTTTGCTATACTCTTTATAGCGACTCTATCAATGCATGATGCAATGTGGAGTTTTACTTTCTAACTGGCTGTTTGCTGAACTGGTTCTGATTACGGTTAAGAAGGATTGAGTGGCCCAGGATCACCTAAGTCAGGGGTAGGCAACCTTGGCTCTTTTATGACTTGTAGACTTCAATTCCCAGAATTCCTCAGCCAGCTTTTGGGAGTTGAAGTCCACAAGTCATAAAAGAGCCAAGGTTGCCTACCCCTGACCTAACTCCCTTCCAAGCCTAAGGGAGGAGTAGAAGCTGGTTCTCCCTGCTTCTAAGCCCCAAACCAGCTCATTCACCTCTATACCATACTAGTTTTCAATATTTATGAATCGGTGTGCCCGCATACATATCTTGCTACCTATCTAAGATGTTTAAAAATATAAAATACTAGTTTTAGTAATCTAATTCCATACTGTCCTACATGAGCAGGGGACTTGCTGTGCAATTGCAGCAATCTTTATTTGCACTCTGTTGTCATTCTATTAAAACTGGATTCTGCTTAAAGCCACATTTCAGTCACCCAAGGCAGATAGATTAACCCTAACCCTATTCTTCCTTATCGGTAGGCATTATGTATACTGCAAGGTAAGCATATTAACTAAGCATATAAGCAAATGAAATGAAACCTAGTTGTTTGTTTCTTCACTATGACTTTTTGGAATGCATCCTCAAACTCAGTATATCTCTTGATAGCACAGTACCACCTTGATCTTGGAAAAACTGTATTTTTGACATACTATTTGGGTGGTTGTGTGTCATAGAACAAGGAGATATTTATGTTATCACTGGTTAGTTAGATGAATTTCTCATCTACCCAGCGTATCAGATCTGTATTAAGAGAATAATTTAGTGCTAAAATTGCAAATGTTTGTCTTAAATTATGTTAGTCCAATCCAAAGGAAATGAGTCTCTCTGGCCCTTCAGTTCCTGTCTTCTGTATTGATGGGCAGACTAAAATATAAGTATAGATAGATAGATAACCTTTATTGTCATTTTTCACTGTAGGCACAATGGCACACATTAAAAGTGAAATGTAGGTGCTTACTCTCAAAGTGTACACATACATAACACACATTTAAACATACTATATACAACATATATATAGACCTACACTCTTACATATAAGTAACATAAATATTAATCACTGTCCATCTTGAATACATAATGGAAGGAGGAAACTTCCTCCTTCACAAGGCTTCACAAAGTTAATACTGTATGGAACAAAACTGTGATTGAATCTGGATGTTCTGCTTCAGATACCACGGAGCTTCCTCACAGATAACAAGGAAAACAGGTCATGAAGAGGATGTGTAGCGTCCCAGACAATCTTGCTGACCCTGCTCAAGCAACGCTTATATGCTATGTCCTGGATGGAAGGGAGGGAACTTCCAATAATCTTTTCAGCCATCCTCACCATTCTCTGCACTGCCTTCCTATCTGAAGCAATGATGCTTCCAAACCAGACTGTGATGCTATATGACAGGATGTTCTCGATTGTCTCTCTGTAGAAAGTGATAAGAACAGGGGAAGGAAGAAGTGCTTTTCTCATGCGACGTAGAAAATGCAGGCGCTGCTGTGCCTGCTTCACCAGGGTCTCGCTGTTGAATGACCAAGCCAGCCTACTTATTAACTGCACACCCAGGAATTTCATGCTGGTAACCATCTCAACTGGTGAATCATTAATGCATAGAGGAGTGTGGCTGTGCCTGCCTTTTCTGAAATCGACAATGATCTTTAGTTTTTTCAGTGTTTAAAACTAGGCTGTTCTCCTTACACCAGTTCACCAAACTCTCGACCTTGCTGTAAGCACCCTCATTGTCATCTTGAATAAGGCCCACTACTGTTGTATCATCCGCAAACTTCACAATATGGTTGGTGGCAAACCTAGCACAATAGTCATGAGTCAACAGGGTGAACAGCAGCAGACGTAGGATGCAGCCCTGAGGAGAACCTGTGCTCAAGAAAAGGGTGTTAGAAATATTTGTTCCAGCTCGCACATACTGGGGCCTACTAGTAAGAAAATCAAGAATCCAGTTGCACAAAGGAGTGTTTAAACCTAAAGGGCCCAATTTGTCTACTAGATGCTGGGGAATGATTGTGTTAAATGCTGAATGTTAAATGCTAGTTATGTGCTGCTATTCAGTCTGTCTCAAAAACTAGGACAATTGGCTTATGTTAGTCTGCATAAATTGCATGTGGGCTTTTATCATATCAGCTATATTCTTGTCTGAAGTTAAGGAACAATGTTGAAGGATCCTTTCCTCTTAGTCACAACCTTGTCTGTATTTCCTAGGATTGTGTATTTTAACTTTATTAACAATAACATACTCAATTAGTAATACAAATGTGTGCCTTGCATTGACCTACTGTATGTTGGATATTAGAGATCGTGGTTTTTGTGGTTTGACTTCTCATCCATAAGAACCATAAGACCTTTTGGATATGTGCTATTCCAGAAAGTTGTATACGTACATTGTACCAGGAAGGAAAAAAAATATGATTGGGATGAACTTCTAGACTAACAAGGTCTTTTGCAATGAGTCATGTACTGTAGCTCTAATTGTAGCAGTGCAGCTGGGAAGATTTTCTTTTCCATTAGCCATGTTATAATTTACTTGTAGGCAGCGCAAAAAGAAATGTGCAGAACTATAAAACAGCATACATTCTTAATTTGCAGTTAATTGTTTTAAACTGCATAGATTTAAATAACAGTGTAAAATTCAGATAAGAATGTTATGAGTATCTGAAATAATTGATACAAGTTTGTTAGTGTTTAAAATGCCATAATAGCATTTTTTTTTCTTTCTTGCCCAGAATCACAGTAAACAATAGGCTTGTTTGATTCTTCATTTAATCTGAGTCATCTATAAATATCATTTGTATTGAGTGCTACTTGTATTTTCTTCTGAAACATTATTTTGAGCCTTTCTGATTGTTTAGTGTTACTTTGATGTGTCATTCAGATGTAGTATAATAAACTCAACTGTTATTTTCCAGCAGGGTAGGGCATCTTCATTTCTTCATAATATTAAAAAAATTAATAACTTAGACTGCGTTAGATACTTTATATACATTACATTTTGGAATTTCATGTTTATCCTTATTAACATAGCTCCAATTTTTTTTCAGTGGAGCTGGATTTGGATGTAGCATGCAGGAGGGGTTGGAGAGTAGAAATTTCAGCTTTATGCTAGGAAGATTTGTGTTCTTCAAAACAACAGTGCATCTTTGCTCCAAGGCTTAAATAACCTTGCCTGTCAAATAATGATAGAAAAATTGCTCCAGATGATATTTCAACCAATCATAAAAGCTAGATGGACTAATATCAGCTTTCCCTTCTAAGTGAAAAAAAAATAACAGAAATAAAATAGGATTGGCTTGCAAAAATTGTAGACAGTGCCATAAAGTCTACAAGCTAAAGTGTCATACCCCATCAGGACTCTGGGAGAAGGAGATGGTATGCTTTGTTCATTGCTCACTGGAGTGGTTCAGTGTGTTCTTGACAGTCCTCCTTGATAAGCCAGGAAGGAAACATGACCAGATGAGCCAATTTTACTTTATTGTAAGGCTAAATAACAGAAACTTGCAAATCTGAAAGTACCAATTTCCCATTGTCTATTTCTATCGCCTGATCAATTAGGGCTGGTTCTTCCTAAGTTTCTTTCTCTGACCTTTACACATCTGTTCGATAGATGTTATTTTAATCCTTGCAAGCAACTTATTCACATCTTTCATTATAGGTTCAGATCTTTTGGGGGCACTAATTTCAATGCTGGCAGTCTCTGTCCTTCTGCTGGTAACTCTACATCTGCCATAATTTTCTCTTTTAATTCTTCTTGTCAGGGAGTCAGTTCATAAGTTGCTTCAGTGCTGGCCTGTACTGGTTCCGTTGTTATTACTTCTAAGTTATCTCTAGTTCACCCAGCTCACTTCCTTTATATTCCCAATTGCTATTATTTGAGTTTCTCCTACAATTGGTTTTGAGTCTTTCATATTCACAATTTTTCCAAATCTCTTCCAATTCTGTTTCCCTGAATATTTTATTGCTGGTAATGAACCTCCTTTGATCTGCTAGTTGTTATTCAGTAGTATTTGAATCTGGATAAATTATTTTCCTATGTTGAAATATTTGCCTTAACTAGCCCTGCACTGTTGGTTCTGATTTATATTAGCAGGCCATAATGGTATGGTTTTCCAGCACATTTTTCTTTTTTTGTCTTATCTGTGGTAGTTGTTCTTCCAGTAAGCTTCCAGGGCTGGGCTCTGGTTGCCCAGCCAGAGCTCCTGAGTCCCTTGCCAACTTCTTGAGAGATGCTGACTTGTTGACAGAGGAGTTGTTATAATTATGTGTGGATAATCTATAGTCTAAGACTGGTGGAAACTTAATAATTCAAATCCTAACCAAGGACTTAAGAATTATTAAGAATTAAAAGAATATAGGCAGTTCCAAGCAGAGTGGAGGGTTTGTTTGTTTGTTTTTTGTAAAATTGTGGTGTCCTGTTCTGATAAATTTAATATTTCCAATTACTGAGAAGGTTCTTTAGGTATAATTCTAGGACTCAAATTACCAAGTAGCCATTAGTTTTAAAAAACAGGAGGGAAAAAGCAGTTTCACTCTGCAGCACAAATATATAAAAGCTCTACATTCTTTGCTCCAGAATGGGCGATCAATTGTTGTGTAAATTTTCATTTTTGTTTACACTATTATCCAGCCAACTTTTCTGCTGAGTCAAGCCAATTCCTGAGTAAGAGATTAAATGTCTGGAGAGTTGAAAATTATTGCTGAACTGTAGCATAAAGCCTATGCCCTTAAGTATATGTGTATGAGTATATGCATACATAAGCACAGACACAATAACCTTCAATCTCAAACCTTTTTGATTGCAGCCCTCCATCTACAGCAATGTCTATACCAATTGCTGGAGAATCAGAATCCCTGCATGAAGACAGAAAAGGTGCAGAGAATACTAAAGGGTCACATTTGACTGTATCAGGTAGGAAACTGGAAGGCGATCAGCCACAGGAAAATCAATAATGATTCAATTACTTAGTATTAGGCTTCTTAAGATGATGGATTGTACTTCATCATAGTTTTTTTTTCAAATAATTGAATTTCTCTATGACAAATCAACAAATCAGGTGTATCTAAGAAACATGCATGAGGGATGATATATCTATTTAGATAAAGTATTGTCTGTAGGTATCTAGAATAAGCAACAGAATAATATATAACATCATTGCGGAAATCATCCAGCATTTATATGCCATGATGTATGATGGAAGTTTCCTATCCTTGCCCTGTGACAGACACCTATGATATTTCAATATACATAACATAAAAGGTTATGTATATAAAGAATTTTAGGATTATCTGGTTTGTGAAATATTACTAAAGAAAGCTAGGATGTTATTTTGAAGAATGCCTTCTTCCATTATTAATTATTTACTTACAGATTGTTTTAAATACTGAGAAATGATCTAACATGCAGTATTTTACATTTCAAATTTGTTTAATCTTCAAACAGTTTTTGTTATTGCTCTTCTACAGTGTGTAGCTCATTTCTTAGTTACCAGCATTTATTCAAGTATTGGAATGCCTTTTTTAAAAAATAATGTGAAGATACATAGGTGACCAACATCATTTACTAATATCCATCGTTAATGGATAGTCCCCTGTAGCAATAACAGATGTGATGGATATTTTTCAATATAAATTTTTAAATGATGAAAGCTAAACAAAGACAGAATAGAGGATTTTTAATGTAGGAATCAAGTTTCCTTGTAGCAAGACAGATAATTATTAGAGAAGTAAGTGAGTTAACATAGCTACTTACCATTATTTCCTAATGTTATCTGCATGCTAATTCCTCATATATAATGCAAAGGTATAATATTACAGATCAATTCAGCAAATTACTGATTAAATAATCCAACAGCAGTGCTGTTCAATCTAACTTTTTTTTCCCAATAGATTTTACAAACAAGAGCATCTCAGCCCCAGATGAACTTGGAGCATGTGGACATTCTAGGACTTCTAGTTATGCAAGCCAACAGTCAAAAGTATCAGGTAAGAATATTATTCTTTGCAATATACTTTCAGGGCTTATAAATAACAAATTTTCTGCTTTGTTTTTAAAAAAAGGTTTTATGGATTCATAAATCATGTTCTTAAATTGAAAATTCTTTACTATTGCAAATGAATAGAGAATTTTAAGAAATATTTATGAAACATTTATGAAACTATGAAACATATAAGGGTTAGTAGCACTTTCTTACAGTCCCAGCTCCAACACATTTAACAGTAGTCTAAACATGAGCACCAAGTTTTTACTTCACCTTTGTGCTACTAAAAAGTGTATGTACTGCATTACAGGATGTTTAGCTGGCTGTTTTAAGATGTGCAAGCTTTTAAAAGAAATTATATTGATTAATGAAGCCAATACTATACAAGAGCAGGCAGAGCTGGGGAGAGGGAGGAGTTAAACATGCCATCAGCTTAAAATCTTTATGTTACTACAAACAATCCAAGTCCAATCCTTCTTGAATTCCGTTGACCCAGTTTAGTACTGAATGTTGCTTGATTAGATTCTTATATATAAGTTTGAATAAATCTTCTGTGCAGCAACTTAATGTATAATCCAATTTATTTAGTTGATTTCTGTAGCCACTCATCTCAGAAAAGTGACTCTGGATGCTGTTTACCTCCTTCACCCTCCTACTTGTCTAAAAAAATCTCCCCTTCCCACCTATTATTGATGGAAGGAAAGGAGAATACTTATGTACAGTTGTGGGTCTTTGAACATATGAAGGGAATTTACCTATATGCTTTGAGAAATTTACAGTATGTTGTGTAATTTGATTAAAAAGTGTTTGCTACCAACAGTAAACTGGTAATTGCAAAAATCAGTTTCTGGTAAAAACCATTCAAGAGAATAGATCTGTTTAACAACAATTTAATTTACTTAACTACATGATTGGCTTACTTAACTGCAATGACTCACTTTATGGCTTTGTAAAAAATAGTTGTAAAATCAAGCTCTATCAGGTGGTGCCTCAAGGTGCAACTTATGACCAAAATTCCAAATTCCATTGTGGTTAAATAAATAATTACAAGAGGAACTTACCAAAATAACAATTAATCCACTAGTACTAGTTATTTGAATTCATGTCTGAAGACTCGAGAAGAAACACGTTTCTTTTTCCAAAATACCAACGTTTAACTTTATTTCTAAGAAGTGACTTTCTGTAGGCACTACTTAAGATTTCTCATAGCCATTTCCTTATTTTACAAGTCCACCTTAATCGTTTCTTACCTTAAATTTACCTAGTAGAAATATAATCTTTGTGGTAATAACATTTTTTCCAGATAGAGAAGATTTAGTTGATTCGAATTCATATACACATTGCATATATTGGATCTTGTCAGAATATTTACAATATGACAACGTAAGAGAAGAAATGTTACCTGTTGTGTATTAGTTTATTTTGTAACATCCTTCTACCGATTGCTTCATTTGGGCAGCTTGTTTTGATTTCTCAGTGAATGCTAGTTTTGGCCCGGAAAAAATTGTTGAGTTCTCATAGGACAAAGATCCATGTATGCTACCATTCAAAGAGTGACATGCAACAAGTACAGTGAAGGAGAATGTACAGGCTAGCACAAAGAAAAACATGTGAGACATATGAGTGTTGTTCCCAAGTCATGGGTCTTAGATTCCCACTGAGACAAGGATAAACATAACTACAAACTCTGCTTTGATTGTTTTACAGGAATCAGTAGTCATAGAGTTGACAGTTTTAGGCAAACAGAAAGTATTGTTTAGCACAGTGATGGCGAACCTTTGAGAGACCGAGTACCCAAATTGCAACCCAACCCAAAACCCACTTATTTATCGCTGGGTGCCAGGTGGGTGTGGCCCACTAGATAGGTGTGGCTGTGGTGGTCATGGCAGACTAGGAGGGTGTGGCCAAGGTGGGCATGGTCACCTTAATGTTGCTCGTGGGGAGGGATGCCTATGGGGGCCAGGCAGGGTTGGAGGAGATCCAGGGGGTCTCTGGCAGGTGGGGTGGTGGGCAGGAGGCTCGTCCTGCGGGGCGAGGCAGGGCGGGGGTGCCATTATCACAAGGCAAGGCAGGGGCCAGGGTGGCTGCTGCCTGACAACATCGGCCCCTGTATACAGAGACCAGCAAGCGCATGGAGGCCGACTGTCCGTCAGCAGCCACAGTCTTCCAGCCCCTCGAGTAGTGCACTCTGGGGTTCCGCAGCCTGCCACCAACAGTTCAGAGAAGTGCCCACAGAGAGGGCTCTGAGTGCTGCCTCTGGCATGCGTACCATAGGTTCGCCACCACTGGTTTAGCATTTACACCTAATCAGCTTTTAGAAATTTCACTCTCTCTTCTTGTACTGTCCACTTTTATCTCTAATTCTCATAATGTCCATTGAAGATAGGTGCTTCTTTACCTTTACTGCATTCCTGCATTCAAATAAGGCCAAATTTGGTTGAGATTTTTCAGCCACTACTTTAGTCCTGACACTGAAGGGTTTATCAGGTGCCCCTTGAGCTAAAAGATGCTGCTCATCAATACCAGACTAATTTTAAAAAAAAAAAGAAGAAGAACACACCCAACAAAGATTTTTTTTTGTATGGAAACGTTCTCTGACATGCATTAGCAAAATATGGTAGGATGAAACAGATGAGGAAAATCACTCTCTGTTTTGTTACTAGCTTTTTAATTTAATTTTTTTATGCATCCCCTCCAAGTGGAGAGTCCTACTTGATTTAATACATCATTTTTAAAAAATTAAATTATCAGCAGTCCCAGTATACCTCAACTTCCCAGTACCTTCCTTTCCCTCTTCATTATCAATATCAGGTTTGTTTGTTTTGTCATCTTCAAGTCTTATACTAATCCCTTCAGTTTTCTTGACAAGATTTTTCAGAAGTGATTTGCCATTGCCTTCTTTCTAGAGTTGAGAGAGAGTGACAGGCCTAGAACTCATTCTGCTGGGTTCTAGATTGGTGCCTTTACAACTCTACCAAACTGGCTCTCTTTTTAAATCTAGCAACAGCTAAGTCTCTAGGAACCAAGCACTGTATTTTATGAATGTATCCTCCTATGCAGATGCCTCTTTAGCAGGTAGCAGGTTTTGTAATTCTGTAGTAGAAAATGAATATGTAGAATTCATCTAACTGCCTTTCTTTCTGAACTGATGCAGTAATTCCTCATATACGTGACTCAATTTTACTTGAGTTTAGTATTTACATTGAAGCCTCAGGGTAGGCACAAATTAAGATTTGATGGCCAACATGGCAATTACTGATGTGAATCTACGAAGCTAGATTCATTTAGACTTGATTTTTTTTGCTAGATAAATGATAAGCTTGTGGTGAAAACAATTCCCTTATCATGTAAACTTACTGCTTAGTAATATTCATGCCCTAAATTCTTCGAGGTAAGAAACTTTTGCAAATTTTTCACTCACAAAGTTGTGGATCCATATGGAATTTTAGGGCTCTAGATTTTGTTTTGTTTTGTTTTGGATAGCTAGTAGTCCAGTTGAAGCCATAGTGGATGTTCAAAAGGTTTTAAATTGTTATTTTAGAATTTAGTACAAGTAGTCCTCAACTTATATTATATAGCTATATTATAATTGACATTAAAAATGTGTATTCCAGTTAGAAAAAGAATCTGGAATTTTTGTCATGGCATCAGACTAATGGCTCTGAATTAATAATTATATATTTTAGGATACAGTACTGCACATTCTAGATCATCCAGTTTCTCTGACCTCTGTCATAAAAGAAATACCTCTGTGGGAAGCACATCAACTGGTATAAGTAGTATTCTAGAGCCATGTGAAGAGGCTGAATCCAGAAGCACTGAGGATAATCTGAAAGCAACTATGAAAGATGCACTCTCCGAAAACTCAAACAGGTAACTATCATGAAAGGTTTAATAATATGGTAGCTATTGAGGATTATTTCTGGAGCATAACATTTCTAAATATTTCATATTTTTCATAGGCTACCAGTAAAACAGGATTCTGTGGAATCACAGCTGAAGAGGGTTGATGCAACAAGAGTTGATGCAGATGATATTGTTGAAAAAATACTGCAGACTCAAGACTTCAGTTTGGACTCAAGTGCAGAAGGTTTGTAAAACAAGAATGAAAACTTGAGAATAAATTGTTGATGAATCATTCCAGATCTTAGGTTATATAGAGGAAAATCACTAATTGTGTAGTAATTGTTAAAGGTACTAAAAATAGCACCTACTGAAGAAACATAGCATCAGCCACAGAGAAGAACAAATTATGCAAACAGCATCACATCAGTAAAACAAAGACGTTCCACCCCTTTTGGATGTGGTCATGGTATATGCAAGCATACAGTAGCCGACACTGCAGCACAATGCTGCTTTGGTCATTTTGATGAAAGCATTAAATCCTTTGAAACTCTGAAGAAACACAACTGTTCAGATTAGAAATGTATTTCTAGAATTAATACTGTATACTGATAACTGTATTTATTAAATTTCTATATATAATTTGGTAACCCTAGAGCAATGGTGGCGAACCTATGGCACGGGTGCCAGAAGCGGCACTCAGAGCCCTCTCTGTGGGCACATCTGCCGTTGCCCCAGCCTTGCCTCTCCCCGTGACCCTCTCCCCACCAGCAGCCCCCTGGAGAGTCACCCCTGAGCATGGCCCATGCGGAGCAGCACAGCCAAGGACATGGCAGCCAGGCAGTGTAGACAAGAATCTGCCCTCATGCCCCATCATGCACAGCTGATGCTGTGGGGCACGGGCAGAGGGCGTGGCCGCCATGGCGCTGCTGGGCTGCCTGGGTGATCTGCGGCGGGCCTGGAGGTGGTGAGTGGCCCTGCGGGCAGATGGGCTAGAGGCGGGGCAGGGGGTGGAGTGGGGTGGGGCCAGTTTTTGGGCACTTGGTCTCTAAAAGGTTCGCCATCACTGCTCTAGAGAATCTACATATAATAATTTAAAGTTGGGGGGGCTTGCAGTTTCCACAATTCAAGTTTTTTTTGGAATTTCTCCCATCATATCCTATTCTGCTCCCAAAGGTTCCTAGCCATATTTACAGCTGGAAGAGACAGGAAACATTCATTGTATCATAGTTTTTTCCACAAAACAGCTTGTCAAACATAGTAATATTTATATTTATTTTTGCAGAAGAAGGACTAAGACTTTTTGTAGGTCCCGGAGGAAGCACTGCCTTTGGAAGTCATCACTTACCTAATAGGTATGTCATTAATGCAATGCATGCTCCTGTCTGTAACATAATCAGCAGTGGAAACCATATCCCAACACTTCAAGTCAGTGTTTCTCAAATTTGACAACTTTATAATGTATGGACTTCTACTCCCAGAATTCATCAATCAGACATACTGGCTGGGGAATTCTGGGAATTAAAGTCCATACATCTTAAAGTTGCCAAGGTTGAGAAACATTGATTTAATTACTATAAAGCATCAAAATCTTTCATTGTATATAGCAGAGGTCCCCAACCTTTTGGGCACCAGGGACCGGTGCCATGGATAAAGGTTTTTCCGTGGACCAGGGGGGGTGTAGTTTTGAATACTGCCTGCATCCCGAGGATGGAGCATTGCTTGTTTGTGTGGCCTGCTTGCAGACATGCTGGGGATCAGTGCCGATCCACAGACCAGGGGTTGGGAACCCTTGGTATATAGCATGAAAAAAACAACTCTTTGGGTTACACTCAAATATTGAAGAAACAGAAACATAGGGGAACATGGAACAAACGGGGAAAAAAATTATTTATAAGAAATGACACCGTTTCTCCAACTCACAAGTATAAAGGACAAACCTCCATTTTTTGGATGCATTGATTTATTTATGTTGCATTTTAAGCATTGGTTAAACTTAGTTGTAAATTGGTGGGTGGATAATAGAACCCCCTAATTCTTTAACATGGCTTCTTCTGAAAAATGAGTGTTAACATACTCCCAAAACAATCTTACCTCTTTTTTTCTCATCAGATCTAAGGTTAAAAAGTTAACTCAATTCACAATGAAATAGAAATAATTTGTATAGTCTTTTTCCACACAATGGCAAACTAATTTAAGTTCCAGTCTAGCCTACAGATCTGAGATTTCCTGTCAGTCTCCCATATGAGCTTTATTGCTTTCCCCCTTTTCTTGTTTCTAAGACTAACCTTCATGTTATGGTTAAATCAGAATAGTCCCAAAGGACCATCCGAGTTTAGATTCTAATTAATGTAACTTTGATGGAGTCCATTTTTAAAGTATACCTTGTAAAAAATAGCTAAATATCTAAGTCAGTGGTTCTCAACCTTTTTAATGCCGCGACCCCCAACCGGTCGTACGTCGAGGACTACTCAACCAGTCGTAAGTCGAGGACTACTCAACTGGTACAGCACCGTTTGCAGAATGGGACTTTTGGCGGGCTCAGCAGGGCAGAGACAGCCTGGACAATTCCTATTGCCTTTTGAAAGCCAATAGAATTAGACTCTATTCAAGAGAGTCTATTCTATTGGCTTTCAAAAGCCAATAGAATAAAAGGGAGTAGCACAACTAAGGAAAAGGGGAAAAAATGGCGGACTGCGTTGTTTGGTGACCCCCGTGAAATGGTCGTTCGACCCCAAATGGGGTCCCGACCCACAGATTGAGAACCGCTGATCTGTTGCTGTTGTTGTTGTTAATTGCGAAGTCGTGTCCGACCCATCGCGACCCCATGGACAACGTTCCTCCAGGTCTTCCTGTCCTCTACCATCTTCTGGAGTCCATTTAAATTCACACCTACTGCTTCAGTGACTCCATCCAGCCATCTCATTCTCTCTCGTCCCCTTCTTCTATTGCCCTCAATCTTTCCCAGCATTAGGCTCTTCTCCAGTGAATCCTTCCTTCTCATTAGGTGGCCAAAGTACTTGAGTTTCAACTTCAGGATCTGGCCTTCTAAGGAGCAGTCGGGGTTGATCTCTTCTAGAACTGACAGGTTTGAACGCCTTGCAGTCCAAGGGACTCGCAGGAGTCTTCTCCAGCACCATAGTTCAAAGGCCTCAATTCTTTGGCGCTCAGCCTTTCTTATGTCCAACTTTCACAGCCATACATTGCAACTGGGAAAACCATGGCCTGGACTATACGCACTTTTGTTGGCAGGGTGATGTCTCTGCTTTTTAGTATGCTGTCTAGATTTGCCATAGCTTTCCTCCCCAGGAGCAAGCATCTTTTAATTTCTTGGCTGCAGTCCCCATCTGAGGTGATCTTGGAGCCCAGAAAAATAAAATCTGTCACTACCTCCATTTCTTCCCCATCTATTTGCCAGGAATTGAGAGGGCCGGATGCCATGATTTTGGTTTTCTTAATGTTGAGTTTCAAGCCAACTTTTGCACTCTCCTTCTTCACCCGCATCAAGAGGCTCTTTAGTTCCTCTTCACTTTCTGCCATTAGAGTGGTATCATCTGCATATCTTAGGTTGTTGATATTTCTCCCGGCAATCTTAATTCCAACTTTTGATTCATCTAGCCCTGCCTTTCTCATGATGTGCTCTGCATATAAGTTAAATAGGCAGGGCGACAGTATACAGCCTTGCCGGACTCCTTTTCCAATTTTGAACCAATCAGTGGTTCCGTGTTTGGTTCTCACTGTTGCTTCTTGACCCGCATATAGGTTTCTCAAGAGACAAATGAGATGGTCTGGTACTCCCATCTCTTTAAGGAACTTGCCACAATTTGTTGTGATCCACACAATCAAAGGCTTTTGCATAGTCAATGAAGCAGAAGTAGATGTTTTTCTGGAACTCCCTAGCTTTCTCCATGATCCAGCGTATGTTGGCAATTTGATCTCTAGTTCCTCTGCCTCTTCGAAATCCTGCCTGTACTTCTGGTAGTTCTCGATCCACATACTGCTGGAGTCTAGCTTGTAGGATTTTAAGCATAACTTTACTAGCATGTGAAATGAGTGCAATGGTGCGATAGTTTGAACATTCTTTGGCATTGCCTTTCTTTGGAATTGGAATGTAAACTGACCTTTTCCAATCCTGTGGCCACTGTTGAGTTTTCCAAATTTGCTGGCAAATTGAGTGTAGCACTTTTACTGCATCGTCTTTTAAGATTTTGAATAGCTCAGCTGGAATACTGTCACCTCCACTAGCTTTGTTGTTGCTCAGATTTTCTAAGGCCCATTTCACTTCACATTCTAGGATGTCTGGTTCGAGGTCAGTGACCATCTCATTGTGGTTATCTGGGATGTTAAGCTCATTCTTGTATAGTTCTTCTGTGTAGTTTTGCCATCTCTTCTTAATCTCTTCTGCCTCTGTTAGGTCTCTGCCATTTTGGTCCTTTATCATGCCCATCTTTGCATGAAACGTTCCCTTCATATCTCCAATTTTCTTGAAGAGATCTCTGGTCCTCCCTATTCTGTTGTTTTCTTCTATTTCTTTGCACTGTTCATTTAAGAAGGCATTCTTATCTCTTCTAGCTACTCTCTGGAATTCTGCATTCAATTGGGTGTATCTTTCTCTTTCTCCTTTGCCTTTCGCTTCCCTTCTTTCCTCAGCTATTTGCAAAGCTTCCTCAGACAGCCATTTTGCTTTCTTGCATTTCTTTTTCTTTGGGATGGTTTTAGTTGCTACCTCTTGTACAATGTTGCGAACTTCCATCCATAGTTCTTCAGGCACTCTGTCTATCAGATCCAGTTCCTTAAATCTATTTGTCACCTCTACTGTATATTCAGTTCAGCAGGTCAGCGGTTCAAATCTCACCGGCTCAAGGTTGACTCAGCCTTCCATCCTTCCGGGGTAGGTAAAATGAGGACCCAGATTGTTGGGGACAATGTAAATATAATATATATATATATATATATATATATATATATATATATATATATATATATATAATATATATATATATATATACACATTGCTTACTGGTGTACACCGCTTAGAGAGTGTTTGCACTTAAAGCGGTATATAAGTCTCATAAATAAATAAATAAAATAAAATTCATCAGGAATATGATTTAGTTCATACCTGAGTGGCCTAGTGTTTTTCCCTACTTTTTTCAATTTAAGCCTAAATTTTGCAACGAGAAGCTCATGATCTGAGCCACAGTCAGCTCCTGGTCTTGTTTTTACTGACTGTATAGAGCTTCTCCATCTTTGGCTGCAGAGCACATAGTCAATCTGATTTCTATGTTGACCGTCTGGTGATGTCCATGTGTAGAGCCGTCTCTTGGGTTGTTGGAAAAGAGTGTTTGTTATGACCATCGTATTCTCTTGACAAAATTCTATTAGCCTGTGCCCTGCTTCATTTTGTACTCCAAGGCCAAACTTGCCTGTTATTCCGGTTATCTTTTGGCTTCCTACCTTAGCATTCCAATCCCCCATGATGATAAGGACATCATTTTTTGGTGTTAATTCTATAAGGTGCTGTAGGGCTTCATAGAACCGGTCAATTTCATCCTCTTCAGCACCAGTGGTTGGGGCATAGATTTGGACTACTGTGATATTGAATGGTTTGCCTTGGATTCGAATTGAGATCATTCTGTCATTTTGGGGATTGTATCCCAGTATTGCTTTTCCTATTCTTTTATTGACTATGAAGGCTACTCCATTTCTTCTGAGGGATTCTTGCCCACAGTAGTATACCTGATGGTCATCTGAGTTAAATTCACCCATTCCTGTCCATTTTAGTTCGCTGATTCCTAAGATGTCGATGTTCAGTCTTGTCATCTCTTTTTTGACTACGTCTAGCTTGCCTTGATTCATGGATCTTACATTCCAGGTTCCTATGGAGAATAAATCTTTACAGCATTGGACTTTCCTTTCACCACCAGATATATCCACAGCTGAGCGTCCTTTCGGCTTTGGCCCAGTCGCTTCATTCTTTCTGGCGCTACTAGTACTAGCCCTCTGCTCTTCCCCAGTAGCATATTGGACACCTTCCGACCTGAGGGGCTCATCTTCCAGCATCATATCTTTTTTCCTTTTAGTACTGTCCATGGGGTTTTCATGGCAAAGATACTGGAGTGGTTTGCCATTTCCTTCTCCAGTGGATCACATTTTGTCAGAACTCTCTGCTATAACCTGTCCGTCTTGGGTGGCCCTGCACGGCATAGCTTATAGCTTCATTGAGTTACGCAAGCCCCTTCGCCACGACAAGGCAGTAATCCATAAAGGGGATTACATAAAATATTCTCAATTTTCACATGGATTTATGCCAACTTCCACATGTGGAATTGTTAGCCATTATTTGCTGGACAAAAAAGGTCCACAACAAACTGTGACTTCAAATGCTTACCTTACTATTGCATCCATACTACCCAGTACATCTCTCTGGTATGAAAAAACCTTTCTGAAAATGTTTCCATTCTATCATCTGAGCACACATTGTGCTAACATTATGTCCTGGTACTTAGACATATACTGATTTTTTTTTAATGAAAACTGCAAATGTCTTGTAACTACTAAATCTCTTCTGTGTGTGAAAGCATAAAATGCTCCACAGGTAGTTCCCACTTACAAATGAGAGCTTATTTGCTAAACAACCCAGTCGTAAAGTGCAATATTACATGATCATACTGACTTAGGATTGTGGTTCCTGCAGTTGCCGTTGTTAGGCAAATCCTAAGGGTCATAGCATCTGGCAATCAGGATTACCATTTGTGACCTGCTAGCTTTTCCACTGTCTGATTATTGAAAACCAGCAGTGAAGATTGCAAATGGTGATTGATACTATGAGATCATACTTGCAAGTGGTCACTGAATGCCTGAATTACAATCACATGACTACAGAGATATTACAACCGCCACAATCATTAGGACCAATTTTCAATATTCCTTTTTCAGTGCCACTGTAACTTTTAATGGTTACTAAATGAGTGTACGTTAAGTGAGGATTTCCTGTACAAGTTCAAGCTTTCCTTTTATTTCTAACTTTTCCTCTAATCTTTCAGAGCGGGATCTGGAGCTTATGAACAAGTGGTTATAAAACGCTAGAAGAACTGGACTAAGTGGATGGATTTCCAGAACATATTTCTCAATATTATCAAGGATGAAATCTACTGAAAGTTGGCATATATGCCAGTTTAGATACTTTATACTGAAACTTTCTTCTGAAACCATTTATAAGGGCAATTTCCCATCTTTTAGCCTGCTGCTCATTTGTTGGCAGATTTGTTGATGGGAATTATTGCATTGTTCCACATGTAAGTCAAATTGGGGTGAGGTGTGTTGTTGTTTTTTGTTTTTTTTTTTGGAAAGAGGAAATTATTCTATATAATTGATCATATATTGAAATCAGTTGTCAGTGGAAAACCTTCACTAATGTTTTCTATAAGCAAATCAGAATAGGAAATAGGAAGTACTCATTCAAGGAAGGGTTTTGAGAAAGTAATACTTTTATAAACATATTAGTTTTAAAACATGACCTGCATTTCAGTATTTTGATATTCCTTGAAAATGAGTGACTAGCCCTAAATGGGATTGATATGCATATTTTATTACTGTTGAATATATAGCCAGGCAGGTGCTCTATGTATTCTTAAAACTATGAAAAAGTATAAAAAAGTATAAGGTTGTATTGACTAACATTTTAGTCTGTATTTAAATCATCATCACAGAATTGAATAAAAATTTTGAGCTCACAAGATGATTTGTAGAGAAGCTTAGAGAATATCATTTGAGAGTGCCTTCATTCTAAGGGAAAAGTAAATACAAACTATTTTATGAAGCTTTAATAATAAATAGTAAACCAACCACTATAAAGATAAGCACTTTATAAATCCATTATTTTAGTTGAATTTCTGACTTAGGCAAATGGCATAATAGCAATTCCCTTAGTTTTTGTTGCATTATGTTTGCCAGTCATGGTCCATACATGAAGGAAATACTTGCCAGATGCAGTATCACCTGTGTAAACACTTACATGGATGAATGCTTTGCTTGTAGCTCTGTCCAGTATTAAATTGCTTTTTTTCCATGTCTTCTTAAACAGAATTTATTTCAATTAGACTTACACAGAAGAAATGTCCTGGCAGAACTGTGATGCATAAATATTTGTATGAACAGTATAATTTGCCTATGCAACAATTTCAACAAAGCATTATCTGACAGCAGAAACATTGCAATTTTTTTGCTAATGGTATGAAAACTATGAATAATCTTGTTGCTTTGTAGCTGGTCTCATATCTTTTAAAAATAGAAATTGATACACCTTTAAAATAATTTTTAATAAGCTAATTATAGATATCTTGTTTAGTGTCTTTGTTTTACTGTTTTCATGGTATCACTGATTCTTTTTGAAAAAAATATGAGTTATTTTTAGTTAAATGAAGGTTTTTTTATGTTTGAAATACTTTTTTTATAATTGTCATAGCTTTTTTCTTGAAGTCACATATGTGAACTCTTAAAATAATATTTCTTTACTGGTATGGTACCCAACAGTGTTCTATTATGTTTCAGCTTGTTCTAACTTGACTTTAAGTGGATCTTTTAGTTGCTGTTAAAATAATGGAAAGGGAATGCACAAAGTTTATTTTGAAATACACTTTAATCTACTTTGAACTTTGTAGTAGTGTGGTTAAGTAAAACATACCTAAGATAGTGCTTGAATTTATTGAGGAATGATCTTTGTCCTGGAAAATAACTGATTTAAAGAAATAGCAAATTGGTATGAGAATGCACAGGTTAAAATAAGTGACAGGGTCACACATAGTACTCATGAGAAATTATCACTTTCAACTTAATATTCCATGGTGAATATAATTTGTAGAGTCAAATGCAACATTAGTCCATATAAAGATATCTAATTTTGTTCCTTTTAGAACTAGTTCAGAGGGAATTTCTCTCTTGCATTCAACATGTTGGTGGTAGCTCTTTTTATTCCATATGCTCATTCTATGTATTCTTCTGTGTAAAGTTTGAACAAATATCATGCACTTTTATTAATTGTATTATTTTAATGAAGTGATTCCAGTACCATCTGAGACATGGGAAATGATCTTCATATTTATATGGCATTAAACTTGTGTAAACTGTATACTGACATGCTAATATTTTTATTAAAATCAACATTTTTATCATAAAATATTTCATTGTAAAGTGAACTTACAAATTCAATAAAATTTGTCTTCAACTTTTATTCTTTTTTTAAATAATCATCACATAGAGATTTAAATACTTTTGTGCATTACTTTTTTCCACTACAATAAGAATTAATTCCAAAGAGAGCATGTTACCTTTCTGAAAATAGCACGCAGAAAGTGAAAACATTTTTTAAATTGAACCTCATTGTTAGTTTTTTTTAAAGCCACTACCATCACCCTATCTCAGTCACCTGCCAAATAATTTGAGCCAATTATTTTCCTTAGAATGTAAATTCTATTCAAGGTATTCCGTTCTTTCTGTTGGAACTCTTTGTTAAATCCCTCGTGCTGAAAATAATACTGATCATATATTAGTAATTCACTTATTTGCTAAATGTAGCAAAAATTGGTATAAAAAAGATTTTGATGCAATCAATGATTTTATTTAATTTTTCCTGTAAAACGCATAAGTTAAAGGCAAGTTGGTTTATCTAGTCACATTCCCTTCTGTTTTCTCATGAATATTGGTTTTTCTAATGTACCGGTTTAAATTAAAAACCAGAGTTGAACAGTCCTTAAGTGTATGCATTTCGGGGGGGGGGGGAGGAAGAATGACAAAGTATCAAGGCAACACAATGCAAACTCCATCCCTTTTAGTACCTCCTTTGCAATGTTCCATGCGTGTACATAAAAGATGGAACTTACATCGCATCACATAACTGACAAACTGAAGGCAGGAGAAGAAGCAACGGATGGAAACTAATCAAGGAGAGAAGCAACCTAGAATTAAGGAGAAACTTCCTGACAGTTAGAACAATCAACCAGTGGAACAACCTGCCTCCAAAAGCAGTGAATGCTCCAACACTGGAAGTTTTTAAGAAGAGACTGGACAGCCATTTGTCTGAAATGGTATAGGGCAGGGGGTTGGACTAGATGACCTCCAAGGTCCCTTCCAACCTAATTATTATTATAAATATTCAGATTCCTCTGAGAGACCCTCAGCTAATGAAATATCTTAGCCCCAACGATGAAGTATTTTAGTAAAGAATTAAATAGTGTTAAATAGAGCTTGGCACTAAAAGATGCCAAGAAACGTGTTTCTGTTAATACATTAACCTAGTTGACCAACTTTTTTAAAAAAGCCACAGCTATAAAGCCAAATACTGTGTGAGGGTTATTATTTTATAGTGCAGGATGGACAATTCATTTGTAAGAAATTTTGGAGGTAAGATAGCTCCTCCCAGTGCTTATACTGATATCAGTCAATACAAGTACAAATACCTGTTTGATACTGTCTGACCAAGTTTTGTACTATAGACTCCATTTCAGGGTGTAAGGTCTGAGGGTGTGGGTATTTGTAACTGTAGGGTCTATTGATCATGTTTATCATGGCTGATTTCATTGACTATATGGAACTGTAAACGCAGTAAATGTTTGCAGGGATTGATGCTTGGATACTTTAACGATAGTACTATGTATATCTAGGGAAAATCACCCTAAGCTTTTAAATATTTAAAAAGATCATCCACTTCCTACTGTCTCTTTTAGGTAAGACTCACCTGAAAATGATTAAAATGCTATTGGAATAAATGATCTGAATCTGTTCCTCTCCACTTTGCACTCCTGGTCATTGGAGTGAGGAAGCACTAATTGTCCTGATGTCTTTTATGAGAGGAGTCTGGGAAAGACTGATCTGTCTGCTCCTTTTACTTTCTTGATTGCTTCTGGGTGATATGCAGCACAGAATTAAGGATTTGATGGTACAGATTCCAGAGATTCTGATGTTCTTATTTGTGCATTTTATACAGAATCGAACTTAATGTTTGCCGAGTCTAGTTTTCTACTAGATTTATGATTGCCACATTTATATGTCATATGCCATCAAGAGATTCTTGACACAGCTTTTTATGAGTCACATATATTTTGCATGCTATCTTTCTTTAGTTTGAGCATTTTTATTCTATAATATTTTAAAATGTTGTATGCCGCCCCGAATGACTTTAGTGTAAGATAGCCAGTTATACAAATATAAATAAATAAAACCTTATGTTTTACCTGTAAAAATAGTCATTAAATAAACTGTTATAGGAAATTTCCCTTGAAACCATGCTAAAATGTCCACTCTTCTCAGGGATAAAGGGGAAGGAGAAAGAGTGGATAAAATCAGCATTATTGTCTAGTACAGTGTCACACACTTAGCAATTTTAATGTATGTGGACTTCCAAGTGCCAAAATTCCACAGCCAGCATGGGAATTCTGAGAGTCAAACTCAAAACAACTTAAAGTTGCGAAGAGTGAAAAACAGTAGTAGTATTTAGGAAAGCATGTCAGTGCTATTTGTGGAAGAAGGTAATAGAACTGTTCACTGCCACATGGGAAAAGTAGCATCAACATTTATGCACTTCACCACTGCTGGGAATCTCAGCAATATTTCAATACTGTAATTATAGAAAAAATCATACTTGTCAACAGAATGTACAGAGAGCAGCCTTTATGAAGAGATGGGAATGAAGATATTGTAACTGAAGGAAAATATTAGATATAAACCAGTTTAATGACATCAAGGTGAGGACTGCATTTTACCACTAACAATGTTTTAGTTTTAGAACATCCATCACAAAAAAGAATCAGTTTTTGTCATTCCTGCAATGATAGAATTTGAAGGCAAAATTGAAACTATCTGTATAGTAAATCAGGTAGGCAACCTTGGCTCTTTTATGACTCGTGGACTTCAACTCCCAGCTGACTCAGGAATTCTGGGAGTTGAAGTCCATGAGTCATAAAAGAGCCAAGGTTGCCTACCCCTGGCTTAGTTATTCCCTCAAACTATCTGTATTGTTATTCCCAGTAGCAAATCAAATCACTATGCTTACTTGTTATTTTCAGAAACACACAAATGTAATTGGCAAGTTATTATTTTGTAGCACAGAAACATTTAAGACATTTGGAGAAAATGTTCAAAAGCATAATATATGATACACGGCGGTTATTTAATAAGTACTTAATGCTTACCATACTTCAGTATTAATAGCAAATACTTCATTTTATTTAGGATATACTACTGTAATGATCTTTTGTACAGTAATCTCTGTATTTTACTACAAAACTCCTTAAATTTTACTTTTTCCAGTATTAAAATTAGGAAAATCAATTTTTAAACTTTTGTTTCAATAACTTTTTTTTTTTGCTTTGTGATTAGGCATCTTTTCACATGCATTTGAACTGATTCTGAGTTATGTAGTAAAACACATGGATGAGTAAACACTCTCGCTCTACTTCCAATTATTTGAAAAGTATTGCTTACTTGGGTTTGAAATTTTTATTTTTTGCTACACTTTTAAAGGAGGATTTCCCCCCCCCCTCCCATAAGTGCTACCTAGAATAACATTACTTCATCCACTTTGTGGGCAACAGCCTCTTGGGAACAAGCTACCTTCCTCAGGTGAAAAACAAAACCAAGTGCCATTCTTGGGCACTAAGACGTTACTCAACCATCTATAATCCAATTTAATGTGAAAATGTAATATCTGATTATGGTATTTAAGTCCATTTTTAAACCAGCAATTACCAGTATTTCAACTATTGACTACTCCGTGAAAGGAACGTTTCTTTTTTAATTATTATCATCATTCTGTTGTTCATCTTCACATTCCATCTCAATCATCACTGCAGAACCATCGTGGCTTAGTGGAATTTTGCCAGTTATGAGCTTACTGAGTTTTTCAAAGGTTCCACAAAGTTGATTCACTTTGGAAAAAGAAAAGATTTTTCCAAGAGGTACATAGATAATATTTCCCCCGGCCGTTGGCTGCATAATTTTACTATCGGCTTCAGAGAAAGGAAAATCATCCATATACATCTGGAAACTAGATTGCTGAAACTGGGACTCTGTTCCAATAAGACTGCTGCACTGCTTTTTACATTCAGATTTTCTATAGTCCAGTTGTTTCCTTGCAATTATCTCTGCTGCTCGAAAAACTTCATTGACTACTGCATTCTGCAAATACTTTTCATCTTTAAGGCTTGGATATATGACTTTGAAAACCTATCTCAAGAAAAAACAAAATTCAAAACATTTATATAGCACATCAAATGTTTAAAGCCTTTACATATTTAGCTTTTATATAAACTATACTCAACTTTATGGCAAGTTTACAATACATCAGAATGAAGTTAAAACAACTAATTATAATTTTCTATGTAGACGCCTCTCCCACTTTAGATGCACAATAGGTACAACTCCTTCCTGAGAGTTCTTCAATGGATGGAAAAACATGAAAGAATACACTGAGTCTTCCTTTTTTAGTGTCTACCATACCACAATTTAGATTCAGAACCTGACTCTGATAACATTGCTCCAGTTGAGCCTGTGAATTGTCAGCCTCAGGAATCATCAAGCCATGATTCATCTGAGGTTGATCAACCATGGGTATCTCTTGATCAGTTAGAGCTGTCAGATGATGTTACAACCTCCAATTCTCAGCAACAACACTTACGCACCAATGCTACTCAACAAGGTTCCTCATTAGGCAAAGGGCCAGGACAAAATAATTGGTGGCAACTGCCTGCAGGTAGATTTATGTAGCCACTTTGCCTTTAGCCTTCATTGGGATCAATCGTTCAGAATTCCAGCTCATGATTCTTCTTCCTGTTATTTCCTTATTCTTGAATCCTTATTCCAATTGCCATTTGGTGACTGAACTATTTTCTAAAAAAAATATCAAATATACTGAGGATCCAAAAAGATTGGAATTCCTGACTTAGTGACAAATTACTTGTGATCACAAATGGGAAACTGCCTGATCTGACAGGAGGTCTTTGTTGCTGTTTGGGAGGCTCACAACAAGGGGTTCGGTATCAAAACCTCTCACATAAGGGCATTCAGATCAAACTGATCTAAGCTAGAAGAAATTAAACGTCTTTGAACAGAAACAATAAATGCAATTCAGAAGGATTATATTGATTCCAATAGTTTGCTCTATGTGTTCCAGTTACAGTCCAGTTTGGTTACAGTCCAGTTTGCTATGGCAGTGCACTTTTCAGTAACTCTGTGAGCATCAACAGCTGATTGCCCCTCTATTGCAGAAAGTGGTCTCTGAAACTGATGATGAAACATCAAATGCAATCCACTGCACAAGGCAAAATCATGATAAATAACAGAAGTCTGGAAAAATCATAAAATCTGAACACGAGAAACTTGAACAACAGGCATGAAAGCCCAGACAACATATGCTCAGAACAAATAAAAAAAATCTAGCAATATACAAAGCAGTATATCTTACCTGAAATTTTGCACAAATTATAAGCTTATTATAGTCCATTGATAAAGTAAATCTTATTAAACATGAAACTTATTTCTAAGCAAGTGTATACAGTATGTAGCACTATTAACATACAAGATATAATTGTTTCATCGAGTAGATTTCTTCTCATTTTTTTTTACATATTTTACATATAATTTGGGTCTTGGGAACCATCTCACATTTACAATTATTGTAATGTCCTGAAGACACGATTGTGATCTTTGACCTTCCGAGTCGCTTCAGATATGCAAAATCAATGGGGAAAGCCAGATTCGCTTAACAACCACATGATTTACTGAACAACCATGATGATTTGTTTAATGGCCTTGGCAAAAAATGGTTGTAAAATTAGGTGCATCATGTGATGCCTTGCTTAATGACTGTGCTAATTAATTTTCCAATCCCAATTTAGGTCATAATTTGAGGACTACCTGTATTGGTAGTAATCTCATTATATCCAAATATTTTGGTTTAAATTATCTAAGAATAACAGTAGTTCTTAAACTCCAGTTGACATATCTGAAAGATTTTCCATCCTCTTGCTTCAAGACATATTTACTTGGAAGACAACCTGAAATCAATTGAACTTCTTTTCCAGTAGCTATTTTAACATTTACAGCTACCGTGATCTAAAGTGCATTTGATATTAGAGGCAGAAGCCCAGTATTTTGATTATTATAATATATCTTTCCAAAATAGTTCCTTCATATCAAAACTGCCCCACCTTACAGAAGCAAAAGATTTACCTACAGTTTTATAAACTCTTCTCTGATATTCTTCAAATCTCTCAGGCTTGACATTTCTTAGGTTTTTTCTTACAAACACTCCAATTTGTGTACAAAATCCAACATCCTTCCCATGAGGTGGTGCTCCTACTCCAGTAAACTCTACTGTGTAATCATAACGAGCAGCAACATCTACAGCCCTAAATTTATGAGGAAAGAAGTTTAAAGAGGTTTATTCTAACAAACAAGCATGTCACACATTCCAATCTTCTGTCTACTTTTACATGTTTACAGTATGGAAATATCTTAGCTGCAACAAGAGAGCAAAAACAGCCCAATAGAAGAAATAATTTTAATTACTTAGAGTGTCACAACAATACATGCTTATGAAAACAGGTCAAGAAAGAAAGAAGGAAGAGTAACGCTTTCTGGTGGGAAGAGCACTCTATTTCTCCTTTTCCATTATCACTGTTGTGGGAATGTACCTGATATAGCAGTAAAGCATACATCAGTGACTAGTGAAAATAAAGCTACCATTTCACCATGCTTTCCATATGCAAAGCCGGTAATCAAAAAAAATTGTCTCCCTGGTTTTTCAGTGCCTCTTTTTCGGGGTTTGCTTGTTTTTTGACAACATATTTGGAAGCAAATAGGGCTGATGTCAACAACTCTTAATTCTGTAACCTCAAAAACAGAAAGGTAGCAACTTCCAGAAAGTGGTTATCCCTTCTTCATACTATTAAACATGCAGCAAACAGCTCAAACCACAACCTCAACAGGATAGTGAACAGGCTTTCACAGATAAAAAGAGAATTTTGGAGGTATGATGAATCTAGGAGGTATGATGAAGCTAAAGTAATTCAAGACCCATGAGATGGTATTTATGAATATTACTAGACAAACCCTTTTCAAGATAATTTCATTTATTTCTATGAGAAAGGTTAAGATGATAAATTGCACTTTTGTACATGTCTTTTAAAATCTGGGTTCCCGCAAATATATAAAATAGGTGTGATTGACCTGTTATATCATCTTCCACTTACTTTCCAATCATTGGGGTTATTGCTAAATCAACCAGATATGATAACCCTAAATACAAAACACTGTCATTCCTGTGGTTATTTTTTACTGTCACCATTTCAAAAATGGCGGCAGTAAAATATGAGATTGGTCTGATTTAACTTTCATTATTTCCTGCCTCATTTCTAGTCCCAGTTCAAAGTACTGGTGGCAACATACAAACTACATTATCTTGTGGGACTAAATTATTTGAAGAATTTTATTCCCACACATTCCTACTCATACACTTGTCATCTTTAGGGAAGGTAGCACTTCCCGACTGTAGTGAAAAATCCCTAAGTATCTACTATCTCTCTCTCTCTTCTAGCCCTGGGCCAGGGGTAGGCAACCTTGGCTCTTTTATGACTCATGGACTTCAACTCCCAGAATTCCTGAGCCAGCATGGCTTTCTATTTCTTTCTATTTCTCCCAAGCCTTTTACAATATTTAAAATTAATGTATTGCAAAACAAGTTTAATGAATTTCACTGCTGTTGGGCTTTGATGGTTTGTATTTTTACTAGTATTGTTTTAATGCCCTTTTTCATATCTGATTTTAAAGCAGTGCAAGCCTGGTTAGCATATACATTTTTAAAATAAAATAAATTAAAATCAAGGAAGAAAAGATAACCTTCATACATTCAGAATTATAGTGGCTATTTAAAGCAATGGTTTGTTTTATCGCATCTTAGTTTTACATTAAAATATTCAACTTTGTTCTTTATTCTTTCAACATAAAACATATCCAGGATTGAAGGAACTTACCAGTTCTGAAATTGTGTTCGATTCCATTCAAATTTATGATCTGGATGTCTAAATAACGATACAATTGGAAGTAAACAATTGAATTCTGAGTTTGGTGTGCTAATTATGATCATGGCTGGAGACATGAAACCAAACACTACTTCTGGAAATTTCTCAAGCTCTTTTGCCTCTAGGTGTTCTATTCTGTAAGTACAAAGTTGTAAAAAGGATCTTTTTACTTCTCAGATCAAGTGAATATATTTACTTCAATAATATCACAGGACTTCAATGCAATGGCTATAATTAATTGAGGAAGAGAACAGAATTGACCGCCGATATTCAAACTTTGGACACAGATGGAAAATCAATAGCACAGGAACAAAACCAGAATAGGATAGAGAGTATCACTTTCCCGTTTGACCTAAATCACAAATTAACTTTAATATACTGTACTGCCAGTATAAAAATTGGGTTTTTGTACTTCTTTTACTTCCAGGTCATATTGTCTAAGAAATTAGAAAAATGAGAGAAGACATTCCTTATTTATGAGACTTTGATAAGAACCAGGAAATAGAAACTTATAAACATCCTAGATCAGAGGTCTACAACCTTTTTGGTTTAGCGGCCCAGAAAGGGAGGCAGGCACCACTACGTGCGCATGCACAAATGGGCTGTACACGAATGCATGCACACACGCAAATGGCCGCACATGAGCACATGCGCACGTGCAAACAGGGCTGCATGGGTTCTGCAAATGGGTCAGCACTAGCACTGGTGGGACACTATGGGTGGCACTAGTGCCAGTAGGACGCTCTGGGGAAGGGTGGCGCTAGCACTGGCAGGATTCTCGGAGCGGCACTAGTGCCAGTTGAACGCTCGGGGGCAGTGCTAGTGCCGGTATGACACTCGGGCAGGGTGGGCGCTAGTGCCAGCAGGATGCTCGGGGCAGTGCTAGTGCTGGTGGGATGCTCGGGGGCGGGGCAGCGCTAGCGCCAGTGGGATGCACGAGTGGGGTGAATGCACACACTTGTGCATGTGCACTGGCCATCCCTTCATGCAGTCCAGTGGCCAAGCAACC